ATACGGACACTTGATGATCCGGTCCATACTGAATGTGTATACGGACACTTGATGGTCTGGTCCATACTGAATGTGTATACGGACACTTGATGATCTGGTCCATAGTCACCTCTGGCGTCGTGTGGCTGCTGCTGAAGAGTTTCTCCATCGTTTCCCCACAGATGTAGCCACTTTCATTTCTGTGTATTCCATCTGGTGCGGCCCATCTATACAGTCCCTGTTTATGTCGCTGAAAAATTTATTTGCAATGAAGACGTCATTAGTCTTACAAAAATCTACCATACAATGTAACACCATGCCCGTATTTTCCAATTACTATTCCTTTCTCGTTATTTCCAATTTTACCTTCCAATCTCCATAATTATCAATGTATCTTGATTGTATGTTTGGCCAATTTCAGTCCCTTCCATTTCTTCATCACTCGCTTTATTGGTTGTTGTATAAATCTGAGTAGTAGTAGTTTTAACTGGACATCCTTGTAGATGTATAGATATTATATCACAGTGAACATTGTAATTCAGGATCTTTAGATGTTCTTTATGACACTGAATGGGACACTATTCCTCTGTTTGTCATTCCCAGTATAGTAAGCCATATGATTGTCCCACTCAAAATGACCAATCACTAATAAATACCCAGACTATCGATCTGTGTGTATTCCATTTTATTTTCGATAACTTCCAATTTTCCTAGATTCATCCTCTGTGAATTCTTATACTCCACATTCTGATTACGAGTGTAGGCTTGCAGCTTTTCTTCTCCTCTTGAGTCGTGCCCCTTCAGTAGATGAGGGGCCTTATAGTTGTCCTCCATCCGCATCGAGGAGGTCAGCTCTGCTGCGGAGGCAGCTCTCGTTTCCCAGCTGCCTTTTGAAGTTCCTGCCAACCTGAGGGGCTCACTTTCTGGCACTATCTTTTATCTGACTGTGTTCTGCTGCGATCCATCCAATTTTCAATGGCTAATCCTTCGTACGTAAGTGACGTCTTTCTTCATCTCACTGCTGACTCATAGTGACCCCTGTGGGTTTCCAACACTGGAACTGTTTACAAGAAAAGAAAGCCCTGTCTTTCTCCCAAGGAGCTGCTGGTGGTTTTGAACTGCCAGTCATGTGGATCACGGCCCAAGGTGTAACCGCTATACCACCGGGGCTCCTACTAGTCTTTCTTCATATTTTGTTCTTAGTCTTGAAGCCCCACTGAAACCTATTCACCTTGGGTGATCCTGTTGGTATTTGAAAAGCAGTGGCATCGTTTGCAGCATCATAGCACTGCACAAACCACCAAAGTCTGGCAGACTGACGTGGATAATCGTTGGTAGAGGAAGACCTTCAAGGAGATGATTGACAGAGTGGCTGTAACAGTGGGATTGCACAAAGTAACAGTTATGAGGATGGCCCAGGCCTGGGCAGTGTTGCTGTGAGGGAAACTGCCTTGGCGGCACCTAACAACAGATGTCCAGTTGTTCTGCCTCTTACCTACTGTGTAGTCTGGACGAATTGTTAAAAAGCTCTGTCCCTGTTTACACGTGTATAGAAAATCGAGATGATACAGTATTTCATTGATTCTAAGAAATTAAAATTTCCAAATAAATTTGATATATCCTATACTTGTTAGTAGCATCTTAAATTTGGTGAAATGTAGCAATAGTGTAAGTTCATGCATAGGATAGTCACAGGCATAATAATATTATTAATGCTCATTGAATGTTAGCTGTTGTTAATGGGTATTCATAACCTTGTCCTATACACCTTTCAGTCTTCTATTTAGTCTCCAAACTTAAAGAATATTGAAAAGATACATTACTTGACGCCCTGTGAGGATGTTTTTATGATGTGGATGTTCTGTTTAGTCTATATTTGCAGAAATGTAAATACAGACTAGTATTATTTTGCTAATGAGGAAGCATCTTAATGATAACCTCCATCTGTGTTTTTTTTTTCTTTTTAAAATCATTTTATTGGGGGCTCATACAACTCTTATCACAATCCAAACATCCATCCGTTGTGTCAAGCACATTTGAACATTTGTTGTCATCCTCATTCTCAAAACATTTTCTTTCTACTTGAGCCCTTGGTATCAGCTCCTCATTTCCCCCCTCCCCCACTATCCCTACCTCACGAATTCTTGATAACTTATAAATTATTATTATTTTGTCATGTCTTACACTGTCCGACATCTCCCTTCACCCACTTTTCTGTTGTCCGTCCCCCAGGGAGGG